TTGTAAGCCGGGGCGGAGTACGGTGCCTTGTATCCTGATCCTTCGATTTTCTTAACGTCAGCGTTGAAACCGTAAGAGTCAGCGGTGTATTCAACGATACGGGTGGAACCGTCGGCTTCGACGAGGCTGTAGGATCCCTTGACGTTGCCGTATCCGTCACTGGATTCTTGTTGGCTGTGGATGTCGTAGGTGTGTGGGTCGTTTACGGCATACTCGAAGCTGTACGGGGCTGGAGCGTAAGCGGGTTCCGGAGCGTAAGCCTTTGGTGCGGCGTAAGCGGGCGCGGAGTAAGCTGGTTTGTAGGCCGGGGCGGCGTATTGGGCAAGTGTAGTGGCCACGCAGGCGGCGAAAATAATCATCTGAAAAACGGAAAAATAAAGCTATATAGGTTAAAATTAAAAACGTTTAAATTAGGATGTTTTAATCATTTTTTATTTTATTTTGTAAAAATCGACCGATCGTCACAGTTTTGTGTATATATCAAGCGGAGTTGGTAAATACCTTAACGGCCATTTTATTTGTATGTTTTTAAAATCTTAGGTTGGTTAGTTCTGGATAGTTCAATCGACTGCAATTGATAGCTCTTTGCTCACGATGTTCGGTATTTATGCTCACGGATTATTGTAATTCCTTTCCCTCTTTCTCGAATTATTAGTTGTTAGAGTGCAACGTTAAAAAAAACCGGTCGTATACAAATCTTTATAAATATTTTAGTAGGTTTTACTCTAATTTGGTTACCGCCCTTTTGCTAAAGGATATGAATAATAAACCAATTATTACCAATCATGTGGCATAAATCAATTAAATACCTACATCGTATAAAAGAGGGCATAATTATAGATTTAAAATGTGTGTCAATTTAATATAATGACTTTCAATGAATTTGAGAACATTAAATGTAATATGACATTTCAATGATGTAGACAAATTTAAATTGATAACTAAAACTTTACTTATACTACATTTATTTATTTATTTATTTATGATAAAACTATTTTTACAAAATTGTAAATGTATTATATTGAACAAAACTCCAAAACAGTGGAGCTTTTATATTTATGTATAGGTCTTTAAAATAAGCATTTCAATAAGTAGCGTAACCGGAACGTTTAAGCCAGTGACAAAATAATCCAACAGGCCTTTAGTTTTACAAATTTGGAAGAAGGAGATATGATGAATAGCCTACAAAAAATAACCAATTACAAAATTCTGCCCTTTAAGTTTACAAATAATTAAAAACATATTTAGTGTAATATTATTTTTATAGTGACATTGTATTAAACATTTTTCAGTTTAAATTATATAAAAAAGGCAATAAAAATTTAAATATTCAGAATTTCTTCTTTCTTTCTTTTGATTCGGCAAACTTAACGATTAAATCTTCAAAGACAACATCTCGAGCTGTTCGATTGAAATGAATGCCAGGCCACTTACGTGATCTTGCGTCATTTCTTAAATATAATATATTAATTTTTAGTTTGGAAAATGACCGTTCCATGCTTGCAGATGTAACAGTAATTATCAATAATAATGAAAGAGCAGTACATACTTCTGGAAAACTAACTGTTAAAGAATAATTGTTCACCATTAAAAGTTGAGTAACATACCAATTTTTCTCTGTGACCGCGAAAATGTAAACTTCGCATAGCTAATGTATTTAAGTAATATTCAGAATTCTCTCTAAAACCTGACGCCAAAATAATTTTTCCTTTTTTTATACTCTTTTCTAGTTCTTCGTTTAATGTTTTATTTAAAAATAATTATTTATATACTAAACAGAATATGTAGTAAACGTGGATTATTCTTGTCTTTTAATACTATATATTCGTACTATGTGTTTCCAATCACAATACTCGTATTTTGTAGTCCAAGTTTCTTGTAAGCCAATGGATGTGCGATCTCCAAACATCAGTATGACCTACAATACGCTTTTTGAAGTATAATCGAATTACAGAGCTACGAACGTTTGATTTTTAAATCAGGTTTGGACACTGTAAAATAATAACTTTCTGAAAAGATCTACCGTTTGTATTTTGAACAAAAGGCTCTTTAGCTCTTTAGGTTTACTATGCTCATTTTAATTACGAACCATATAGTTTGAGTATCTAAATCGATATCTTTAAAATGTCCAATATTTGTCGAATTAGAAGAATTTCAATAATAATTTTAAAAACAATATCAAAAGATTTATTTCGATTCGTATCTTTAGATAAACAGCATGATAAAACTCATGGGGTGAATACTTAATTTTTTTCACTATCTACAAAACTAAATTCATCACTTGGTTCATTATTAATCTTCGTATTAACACTTTTATTTATTATTTCACCTTTATTTTCACGAAGAGTAGTACTAGAAAAAAAAAACCATACATTTTAGGTAATTTTAATAATTTTTCTTGTACTTCCATTTTTTTCTTACGCTTTTCATTGCCATTTTTTTCGACATGATCGATCATAATATTTCGTATATTGTATACGAATCATTGATTCACAGAAGAGTGTGAAAACAAAATCGGTCAACGATTAACAACTCGTCATTGGCTCATAACAAAATAAAATAAATATTAAAATAACACCGAGTAACAACAACTGAACGACGGTCACTATTTCTTAGAATAGTTCTAATCTAATCTAGTATTTAAGTATAAAATATAAATTTATTCGGTTTCAAAGACAAGCAATTACGTTGCGCTTCATAATTATTTCCGTTCTACAAATTACAATATTATTATATAATAATATTAATATCACCAATGTCGACGTGCTGGTTAATAAAATAATCCATAAATATAATCGTGATCCATCATTAAATTTATTTTATTTTAAAGAAATTAAATTTTAAAAAAATATACATATATTTTTAAAGAGAATAGCATTTATAAATTTCGCTATAATAGTGATTTGTTTTTGAATTTACTATATTTATTCTTAATGCGCCATCTACATATACGGGCTTGTGGCCCATTACTCATCATGCCACCCTATCGATACGCCATTGATTCCAATGTACTTAAGTGGTATTTGTTTAGATAAAGTGGTTCTCAGTTGTAATGATTATTTGTAATATATATATATGTATTATATGTTTCTAATTATGTAATTATAGAAAAAAATTCTTAATAGGGTAGCTTGATAAGAAAAATACAAATGTTTATAGATATGAAAATTAATAACATTGTAATTTTTCCCTAATCACAGTATTAGTTAATTAAATATTTTTTAACTATAGTGTGCCAGAAACACTCGATTTTCTCAAAATATTTTCTATCGGTTATAACTTTTTTTTCTGTATTTCTTTAGAATTGTTTAATTTCATGCTACCAACAAATTTAAATGATAATTATTGGTTCCAATATACAAGTCCTAAGTATAAAAATTTAAAAAATAATAAATTTTAGCTACACAATTTTAGTGTATTTTTATAATTTTTTTTTCAAATTCATCAACATTTAATATTTAAACTTTCGTAAGATAGTTTTTGTATATTGCTCTACATTTTAACCACATAAATCAAGTGAAATAAACGATTAACATATTTTAAATTATAAGTCAACATTTTATCAAACTAATATTATTTAAATGACTTTATTGGAAAAAAATTATTTCTCTACCTGCAAATCTAAACAATACTCAACGTTATTATTTTATTTTATTTTATTTTTCAGTGATTATTATGACAGACGAAACCGGTTGTAAAAATTACACATCGATAATACTCCATTTAAGAACTTTTACTAACAACTTACATATTCAGCACATTTAATACTCGAATAATTTAAATTTTTTTCCAATAACAATTACAGATAGTCGTATTAGAGCAATGAGGAAGGTACATTACATGGTTACCGATTTACAACATGATTGCCACTAATTTTCGATTAAAAATTAAACCTACCTTATTAAACAATTTGGTTCTACTACTTTATCAATATTATTAACCGTTTTTCTAGTTAACTTCAATTAAAACTATGCAATGAAAAGAAAAATTATTTAAGATTATATATTGCAGAAATATAGTATACAAATTATGCTATTGAATTTAACGGTGCATAACTTGTAAACTATACTGTATTTCTAACTTTGCTAGGAATCAAAAGGCCAGTTTACATTATGATAATAATGAGTATCTGAAATAATAAACTTGAATCCGTTGTCTTCTACTCATGCATATGTAGTAATTCCTAGCATTCTACATTATTAGAAAAAAATAAAATTCGAACATCGAATGTATGTATATATTCATATTAATTAAGATAAAAAACTTAATTATTTTCCAAAAATCAATATATTAGTAAATTTATTTTTTTTAGATTTTTAATGACAGTAAATACCCCTAAGTTGCCAAAATTGACTTATCCTAAGTAAAATATGATGAAAAACTTATATATATAAATTTAGCTGTCAATATAATTCTTTTTATAGTGCATATGAATAACATACATAGTTTACCGGAATATAAAACATAATATACATAATATTCACATAAATTTATCATGGTCTGAATAATTATTGTTATTAAAAATATTTAAAAATATAAACAAAATTATTTTAAAAATAAGTACCTATATATTTATATATATATATATCGTATAATATTTGCATGTATGACATAATTATACATAGAAGATTCATCGAAGACACATGTATTAAAACTCAATATGAAAATATATAATAATTAAATGTAATTTTTTTGTAGACTTAAGTCGTGAATCCTTGATGTATTAGTTTTGAATACTGTATATATTCACACGAATAGAAGATAATCAGTGATTATATTATGATCAATTATTTTAAGCTTAATGTATCAAATATTCAACTAATTTGTCTAAGGATCTTGTGATTTGGAAGTAAAGGTTAATGAATAAAACTTCATGATATTCGGTAAATACACTTCAAATTATATATTATTTACACAACAAATACATAAATTATATAGAATCCATAGTCATTTATATTTACATGGTGATGTATTTTAAAACCACAGAACACAGTGACTCAATGGTATAAGAAAAAGTAGGAAAGATGTCGAAGAAAAATTATGAGATGTAGGAGTCACATGTCTAAGAAAATTAGTATGCTGGCTTGTAAGCTGGGGCGGAGTAAGCTGGTGCAGAGTATGATGGTGCGGAGTATGATGGTGCGGAGTACGCTGGTGCGGAGTAAGCGGGCTTGTAAGCCGGGGCAGAATATGATGGTGCGGAGTACGCTGGTTTGTAAGCCGGGGCGGAGTACGGTGCCTTATAACCTGATCCTTCGATTTTCTTGACCTCAGCGTTGAAACCGTTATGGTCATCGGCGGTGTACTCGACCACGCGGGTGGAACCATCGGCTTCGACAAGGCTGTAGGATCCCTTGACGTTGCCGTATCCGTCGCTGGATTCTTGTTGGCTATGGATGTCGTAGGTGTGTGGGTCGTTTACGGAATACTCGAAACTGTACGGGGCCGGAGCGTAAGCGGGTTCCGGAGCGTAAGCCTTTGGTGCAGCGTAAGCGGGTGCGGCGTATCCTTGAGACGGGTAAGCCGGGGCGGCGTATTGGGCGAGTGTGGTGGCCACGCAGGCGGCAAAAATGATCATCTGAATAACAAAAGGAATCATATAGGTTAAAAAAAGGTAAACCATGAATTGAGTTATTTTTTTTGAGAATTTTTTCCTAAAAATCGAACGGTTATTGTAAAATCTGATTTATCAATACTTATCGAAACTTATTTAAATACCTTAGCGGCCATTTTATTTATACGTTGTTGAATATCGTGTTGTATGTTCTGGATAGTTTGATCGACTGCAACTGATGTATTTTGCTTACAATTCTTCATATTTATGCTAACGGATAATTGTAATTACATCCCTTCCCAATTTCTCAACATATCAATTACCAAAGTGTTACATTAAAAAAAAACCGGTTGTATGTTAATAATTAATAATATAATTAACTGTGGTTCAAGATAATTCGTTTACCGTTCTATTGCTGCAGTATATGAAGAATGAACAGATATTTTTACTACATAATCAGACACACAATAATGAATACGATGTATCACTAAAAGATCCCGTTGTTTTCAATAATGTAACATTCTTATTTGACGTAATATTACACATTTTTTCATGAGGTTTTATATATTTTATTTCAATACTTACATTAAACTTCATTTATGACTATATACCGACATTTTAAATCGTATAATTTTCGTATTTTGGACTTCAATGCACATTCATTGTAATGTATTTTTTTTTCTTTTTTTTGTATATGATAGGTTAAATAGTAATTGTATTGTTAAACATTTTATATAAACATTAGTTTTTGAAATATAATACAAAACTTATACCTATAATCTTGCCAGAAATATTTATTTTATTCAAGATTATCTTAAATTATCAATGTCATGTATGATGTACCTACGACCTACATTACCTATGTTTTACTTTATAATCTACAAGATGATGCTCAAATTATCATATGTAAATAACTTCCGATTAAATTCAATGTTAAGCGTTTTATTTTCATTCAAAGCTGAATTTTAAATTATTATAGAGAGCATTAAAAGGCTCAAAAAAAATTTTACTTACTCAAACATTTTAAAACTTACAGAAACATTAAAAAAAGTGGAAAGCGTTAAAATTGTACAAATATTCTTCCTAAAAATGAAACAAGTACAGTTATTAAAAATAGATGTGATGACGTTATAATTAAAAATATTGGAGTAAAATTGTTAAAAGTCATTTCTAAAACACTTCAAGACGATAATTTTAACGATTTTCATATGCAAAATTATTCACCACAAATATTGACCAATTTTAAGTATGTACCAATAAAATGTGTTGATGGAGAGCTTAGTTATTTATCAAACAAGTGTATTCTATTTAACTAACAATAGAATTTCAAAGAAATAAATATGAAAAATTCTGCTTTAAATCATAGTTTTTCTAATATAAACCCGTTTGAGAAAAATATAATGGAAATTGTATGGAATATGATCTAACTATTGATATGAGTATTCATTAAGCTAGAGTTTTTTAGTAAAACCTCAATTTTTTATATGCAAAGTACCTGTACCATGTTGAAAAAACTAAAAATGTAATGTTGATGTAAAGCGATAGATATGGTAAATAAATTGATTATTTTCTGTATATATTTATCAAACATCAGTGAATTTTGGAAACGATATAAATGCATCAACAGTATTATTACTTTTTATCAGAATTTTATAAATCTAAAAACATAAAATAACTTATTTTATATATTTGGTAAGATCCTAATTTAATAAAATATATTTTAGTATAAGTACAAGTTCTCTTAGTAAATTTCAAAGTTTATTTTTGGTTAAAAATTAAATTTAAATGATAAGGCATGTAAATCAACTGTATTTAAAAAAGAACAGTAATCACTTTGAGCACACGTGTTTGAATTTACATAAAACTTTAAATTTAAATCTTAATTTTTAAAATTTTTAAAACTGTTTCAGGTATAAAAATACATAGGCATTTTACAGAATAACTATTTTAATTTAATGTAATAATATAATTGGTTTTTTTTTTTTTTAAACATTTCTTTAAATCAAAATAATTTAAAATATTTCCATTGCTAGATAAAAGATTTTATACTTTTTAAGTTAATCGACATAACATAAGGCTAAAATAAGAAAAATTTCATTTCTTAAAATTAATCTTCCTTCAGGCGCGTGGCAGCACTCCGCGCTATAAAATTACTTTTTTTGTGATTAATGGATCTATGATTGTTTGGGGGACTAGGAAATTTCACTACCGGTATTTTTTATCACTAGTAACACAACCCACTTATCATACGTTGTTTTCTTAAATGTTGTTTATAGTTATTGTGAAGGTTACTAAAATATTTTTTTTTTATGTTGTATTTTAAATTTTCTATGGGTAGTTATCACTAATGTCACTAATGGTTACTATTAATTAATATTTTTTGAATTTTAATATACACACACACTCATATATATATATATATATATATATATATATATATATATATATAAAGAATATTGTTCTTGATAAAGAATGTTGTTCTAAATAGTTCAACACTCCTTTCTTTGAATATAGAGTTATTTTAATCGTAAGTAATAAGATTTTATTGAGGGAGTACTCAGTGGTGCTACCCTTCCATTTGTGTAAGTGTCGAATCCCACCGGAAGTTTGATAGTCTTAACAGATTATATAATAAATGTTTTGTAATTTAAATTCATACTTTAAACGTCTGTAAAATATACTGAATCATTTGTATATGCTGTTATAAACTATAATTTACAATATATTTGACATTTGATTTTGATTTATTAATTTACATTTAAGTGTAAATGTATTCATAATGTACTTTTACGAACGAGTCGTACAAAAAACATTAGTCAATATCCAACACTGATGTTGTTTCTTGTTTTTTATTTGTATCAAATAAATCGGTCATTATTCGGAGATCAAATAACTTATGAAGTATAAGTATATGATTTGATTATGTAGATAGATGTAGGAAAATAAAATAAAATTTGGATTACATTATGTGCAGTAAAATATTTATTTATGAAATAAATACATTATTTATATTATTATTATAATTACATTATTGTAGTATTCAAACAGTGTAATGAGAACCATAACTGTTGGATATATACAATTTGTGATTCGGCAAGAGCAGCAAATCGATTGTAGGCTGGGGGAAAAAAATTAACGAATCATTATGGTGTGTAAGCCGGAACTGGTGCGGAATACGCTGGCTTGTAGGTGGGTCTGCTGTACGAGGTCTTGTATCCTGATCCTTCGATTTAATTGACCTCAGCTTTGAAACCGTTGTGGTCATCGGTCATCGTGGTCATTCGACCACGTGGGTGGAACCATCAACTTCGAGCAGGCTGTAGGATCCCTTGACGTAACCATTACCGTCGCTGTACTCCTGTCGGTTCTTGACATTGTAGGTGTGTGGGTTATTTACGGAGTACTCGAAGCTGTACTCGATAGGTGCGTATGCGTGTTCCAGAGTGTACGCCTTTGGTGCGGCGTAAGCGGGCGCGGAGTAAGCTGGTTTATAGGCCGGGGCGGCGTATTGGCGAGTGCGGTGGTCACACAAGCGGCGAAAATGATAATTTGGAATAGAATAAAAAAAAATTTTAAACACCATACAACGATGTTCAGTTTTGATAGACTTTCGAATTATTATTCGTGAACCTTGACTGCCATTTTATCTGTTCATTTTGGGACAATATGTTTTATATGTATGTGTTTGCTTAGTATTTCCGTTTTGTGTAACTGATGACTGTTCGATGGTGATTCTCAGTATTTATATTGAACGGTTATTGTTATTTCATCCTCATTCTAATGACATTGATCAATATGGTCTTTGTAAGTGGTGTTTTAATATAGAACCGGTTGGACACTATATATATTTTTTCTTTTCGTGTTTCGTATACCGTTACGGTAACCATCCCTGTGCTAAACAGTCCTTTCCAAGCAGTTGACACTCGGTTTGATGATTTTGGAACACTTTTACTGTCATTAATATTTCGTCTCTTATACGAATGATTTCACAAACGCCTTCTGTTGCAGCTTTTTTCGAGTTTTTACAGTTATTCTTATAAGTTGTGCGCATACGAGTATATTACATATTTCATATTATTTATTAGTCATTCATCAGAAAGACATTCATAAAGTGCTTTTAACGCTATACAAGTAAAAATTTAACACGAAAAAAATTATTTTTAAAACTATTTTATCTTCCAATACGAGTACACACCAATTACTTTTTTTATAAATGTAAAATTATAACGATTAATAGAGGAAGATATAGAAAAAAAATTAAAACAAAATTAAAATGATTAAAGAAAAAAGCACTATTAAATATAGGTAATATGTAATAGAATAAACTGATTTTTTAAATTTAACGAACATTTGATAGTTCGATTTAAATTATTATAATTTACTTTTTCATTAAATTTTACCTAAAAATTAGTATTTTTTTTTCTATTAACTAAGTGATAAGTTACTTCATTTTAAAACTATTTTCTCTATAAATCATTTTAATTTATATTTATTAATTAATCCAAGTAAATTAACAAGTACAATATAATTAAATTAATTCGTTTTTATGAAAAGTTGTAACTTGAATTGCAATTATATAAAATACATCAAGATTACACATTTTTTCAAGTTTCTAATGCATTTTATTATTTCCTGTATTTTTATAACATTAATATTAAGTGGATACTTCAAATTTCTTTAACTGTTCCGGAAAAAAAATCATCTAACTATTTCATCTTATTATTTGTACCAATTGTTTTAGAAGTATGGGAAAAATAAGTTTAAATATAATTATTAGGCCTCCACTTTTTATCCAATTTAATTTATCTAGCTATCTAATATAATATGTAGATTATATGTTCATAAATAACATTTATTATTTTAATCTTGAAGTTATAACCATTAATCACTGCTCATTAAATAGTATATATATGATATGCTTGAAGTTACTTCCGCTAGTGTGATGATCCTGTTCCTTTAGTTTTTTTGTGATAACAAAATATTTTTATTTAACCATTATAGTATATAAGAAGTAGTATACTCACTTAAAAATAATTGCCTTCATTAATTTCTCTGTTAACTCGACAACGACTATTCAAACAAGTTAAACATTTTGAAAGAAAACTCTGTTGGTTATTTAAGATTACAACTATTATGTTTTTAATTAAAACAATACGAATAATTATAAATAGTATACAACTATCAAATGTGTTTACTGATTAAATAACATTTTTATCACGTACTTATTATGGTCAATTATGGCTATATTTTTATTATTATATTATTATGGCTAATTAATTCATTAAGCCATATTACTTATGGAAATATTACGTATTATTATATACATACATCCGTATATTGAAATTAAAACAGATTTTTATAAATAACACATAGCTTTATCAAACTTATCAAATACCTCAATCAAAGAGTACCAAGTATATTTAATTTCTAAATTAGTATGGTTTTTAAATTTAAAATTATAAAATAGAATTTAATTCTTCATTTTACTATACATACATTTATCAATAATACATAAAAATAATTTATTTTCATATAAATGTTTTATTATAAGTTATTGATTTGTTATATAACGATATAAATGAATATAATATTTTGATAATTGTAAATCATTATTTAATTTAAACCATCCATTTTTTTGTAATTATTCAAGTACTTCTTTAGGATACTAGTAAGTTACCTGAATCCAAACAATCACTTCACGAATACAATATAATTATTTAAGCACAAATAAAAAAATTAAAAATTAATTTGAAAAAGAAAAAAGTCAAGTAAATGTACTTATGAGTAACGGAAAATGAGAGATATAATGGTTTTCTCAAAATGATATTTACGGTTACAATAACTATTCATAACATTTATTTGTAAAAATATATTACAAAATAGAAATTTATGGATCATAATTATATGCAATACGATTAATAGATTAATACAGGTTAATGATTCGTACTGCTGATATAATTCATTTTTATGTATTAATAATATGATCAAACATGCACACAACGAAATTTCACGTTCGAAATGAATATTGAGAACGTATTACATGATGTAGAAACTTATTATTATTATTACTGTGCGTGATAGATTGTTCGGTATAATAATTAATGTGTAAAAATATTCCCATGGTGTACACTTCCGTTCGGATAAAATATAGTAAATTAACTATTAACGAGTTAAATATAGTACTTGAAAAAAAATTAATAACAATCATAATCATCACAATGTCGTCGATCAATGTAACGTATACAGGTTCAAATATTGTAATATATTGCTCAGGAAGTTTTGCGAATAATTTTTCGTTGCGCTTCGAATCATATAGGTAACCGCACACTGCAGGGCGTCAACCACATTGGCGTATTGGGGGGGGGGCGATGGGGGTAATCCCCCCCCGAGAATTTTTAGACCAAGACAATTTTTATAAAAGTAATGGGTATTTTATTAAGAAACAAAAATTATGATTTATTTTATAATATTACTATATTTGAAAACGTTTCAAATTTTACACTAATTTAAATAATGCAAAACGTTAAATTTTTCATAACATTTTAATTATCAATAACGGTAAATGGAAAATTTTTTAAATTCTTAAATTTATATAACGTTTAGATGTCCCATAACAATAAATAATATATATTATTTTGATTGAATCCCAGTCCACACTTAGTGAAAAATTAGATAAAACACAAGCGAAACTTTCAAAACACAGATAGGTGTTAAAAAAGAACTACACAAAAGACCATTCTAAGTGGATCCGGCATTAGATAAAAAAAAAAAAAACCACAAATATTTAGGATTCACCTGATATAAATATGAGTATTACCAAAAATTTTACTTGTAAATTTTGAGCCTAATTTAAAGAAAAAATTTTAGTCTCCCCCCCTAGAAGTAAATCTAAATACGCCCCTGGTCAACCAATGGTTTATAAATACTCTGCAGATTGGTGTTAAAGTGTAATATTTACCAGAAGTGTAATTTAATCATAATACTATTACTACAATTGTTGAATTAATAATATCAATCGTTTCGTATTGTCTTGTACTATTTAAATAGTTCAAATTATTTTATTTTTTCAGTCTATTGTATAATATTTGTTTATATTGTACGTGCATTTATTATGTATTACAATAACAAATGTGTCTTCTCTTCAATAAAGCGAATTATTTGTTATCCGTAAGCATTTATCAAAAGACTTCCGAATTCAAGGTTCAGTTTGGTATGATGGTACATAAAACGGTGCGCAAAAAATTATAGATAATACAGTGTTGTATATTATATACGTAGCTGGCGGGATTTAATAATATGACATTTGAAATTATTTAAAAATTTCACTGACATGCAATACATTTATAAATATGATTATTATGATAAATGATGACCATGAAATGAACCATACGAATGTCCATTCACGAGAAAATAAAACTCGTACGTACAAAAATCGCATGTTACATTGAAATTCAAAACCCATTTGAGTTACGGGTTTGAATACTTGTAGTAGGTAAACAATGGGACCGATGTAGCCAATTCAAAATTACTCATGCCACTTCCAAGGTATTGACATTTAAATCAGACCGTAAATATAATATGAACATCCAAATAAAATACAAATATTCCACACTTTGAACTATGTTGTTTATTTTCTTGTTCGACGCCGATAAATAATATGTATAAGGTTTACTGTGTTCAACCGATCTCTGAAATCAGTATAGTTCTGCGGCGTACTATTACTATGGATAAACAATTCTGGCGCAAGTGCAAATATTGAAAACGTAATATAGATTTCAGTTTTGCTCCGTGCGTGATTATTATTGATTGCCGAACGGTCCACATCGTTTTAATAGCGTCTGAAGCGATAAACAATTGTTCGATCGCAATATCTTAATAATTCCCTCGTAAAAACTACTTTTATTAGAACGCGTATGTATATGCATCTATTGGTATTTTAACACGAAACTTTTCCGATGTTTACATGCGCGTAAGTATAATTCACAAACACCCAAATTACGCTGGCCCAGAATTGTACCCCAGTCGCGGGGCGCACTCGATCGTCGAACACGGTGTATAAACGGTTCGTAACAATCAACACTCGCGGTAACAAGCTCTAATCAATTAGCCAAGCGGAGTGAAAGAGAAAAAAAAACAAATAGGAAAAGGAAAAGTTACATATCCAGTATATCGGATGACACATACGAGGGGACCAACGGTGAGTCGGACGGCTCGAGTGTATGATAGTTTATTTTTGTCGATTCCGGTAAGAATAACGCACCGCTCCAATTCGGTTTACTAGAAGTATAAATTTATATTCGAAATGCAAACGTGTTTGGGAATGCGCGCGTATGGACAGCACGTACGTTTATTCGCCGATCAACGTTGCGCTCTTACGTAAAATCGTTTCGGTTTGCGATCCGTTTTGTCGATCTCGCGATCTATAATTCGATAAACCGACCGCAGTCGGTGTACGTATGTACGCGACATGTGTATGTCTTGTAATCACCAGGCGCAAATGCAATACATAACACTGTCCACGGACGGAACGTTTCTGGACGTATCGGATGATGGTGAGTATGCTCGTGTTTCGCAGTGACTTGAACTCGCTCGGAATCGTCCGATTAGAACGTACATTACAATGTATATTACACGTAATAACTGTATCACCGTCATGCGTGTTATAATTCCCCTTTATCCGATTCGAACGTAATGATAATTACGTATTCATACATGCACGTAATACATTACTGTTATTGTAACACTATTATGTTGTGTACGAACGTCGTACGCTTTTAGGCGATTGCCGCCGCCGCCGTCGTCGACTAACAGTCAATTCGTAACCTTTCTAAAACAAATGGCTGTCGCACAATGACGACAGATTTCGTAAACTTATTGTTTCTTTTACGGCCGCCCACGCTGATGGGTACACCTGTATAACGCGATTATTGTCATTATCGTGTTATGCACGTATGTAGATCGCAACGGGCGGGCAGTGCTTTTGTACTTCTCTTCGGCGAACCGTCGACATAGCTCGTCGCGAGCAACGAGCGTCAAGCGTGTCGTGTTGTAATAGTACTACAGTGGTGATAATGGATAAAAATAACTGAAATGCTCCGAAGTATATTTTTCTATAATATTTATTTGTATAGAAAAACAATAGTAACAAATACACAATTTTAAAGGTATAAAAATAAAGAATAGAAGACGTAAAAATTAAATAATAATCGTTGGTTCAGTACCACCGTACCGGTAAAGGCAGTACTGAACCCGACGACGGAACATTTTCATAACATAATGTATTACGTGAACGTACAATTATTATTTTAGTTTTTTTGGTACTCGATGTCCTTCCATTTCAGAAAACGTCGATGTACATAAAATAGTTTTTGGTGAGCTATCGCTGAACAAAGGAGGCACCTTCATTAGTAGGCAGGTGTTACGTAAGATGGAGCAGCTGGGTAGGCCGGAGCACTGTACGTGGAGGGCTTGTAAGCTGGGGCTGCGGGTGCGTAAGATGGGGTGCCTTCTTTCTTAACGACAGCATTGAAACCGTACTCATCAGCGGTGTACTCGACGATCCTCTTGGTGCCGTCCGGCTCGATCAGGCTGTAGTAGCCTTTCACGTTCTTGCCGTCGCTGTACTCGGCTTGGCTCTTCACGTCGTACGTGCTCGGGTCGTTCACGGAGTATTCGAAGCTGTACGGCTTTGGCGGATACGCGGGCTCCTGCGATTGGTAAGGTGCCGGGGAGGCGGAGTAGGACGGGGCTGAGTAAGATGGGGCTGAGTAGGACGGGGATGAGTAAGACGGGGCGGAGTATGATGGGGCCGGTTTGTAAGCGGGAGCCGGTTTGTAAGACGGAGCTGGTTTGTAAGCCAGGGCTGGTTTGTAAGACGGGGCTGGACTGTACGACGGTGCTGGCGTGTAAGCCGGAGTCGGTGAATAAGTTGGAGCCGGCGAGTAAGACGGAGCCGGAGAGTAAGACTCCGATGGGTAGTAGGATGGTACGGAGATCGGCGAGGCATTAGCTGCGACCATCAGGCATGCTGAAATTGCAAATATCTGTAACAAAGGAACACGCGATTGAGTCGTCTGCATTTCAAACGCTTCGAGTTCTTCGAACAATATAATACGGTTGATTGGATTTCTGATTATACAGTTAAATGATACTCATACACCGAGGTCAACACAATATTAATAATATACAATAGTCGAATTGATTGATATGATATGTTTCTTTCGACACGCTCGTAGGATTTTTTTATTTATACTTATATGAAATACCCTATGTAAATATGTATACTAATTCAATATCGTTTATTGAAAATTAATTAATGTATCGATAACATTCAGATCGGTTGAGTTCATCTGAGTGAACGTAATATTATGTTACACGTATAGTGTACCGCAATCGGATCTTAATGTCAATACACTGTTGAATTGTTACTGCCTAATCTTTTGCACACGCAACAATTGCAATTATATAATATTGATTTGATAAGCGTTGAATTCGCATTTTACAGATCATTCGAGACAAGTCTACTTGGCGCGGAGTCGGACAGACAACTGTATTTGGAACCATGTGAAAATAAGGTTGTTAGGAGATTAAGAATGATAAAATCATATGTGACAGCGGTAAAATATCAGTCGATCTGCAGATGATTTATCACTACAACGTTACACCTGACGTGGCGTTTGCAATACGGTTTCTGCGCGATTTCTGTATCGATAGCAAACTTTCCTTTATTGGAAACTAAAACTAGATGAATATATGTTGAAATCGCGTAATATGTGCTCAGTATGTCATTTCGATACCTACTCTTCGTAGACCACTTACACAATGCAAAATTCACATGTAATTAGTGATTGAATGTAGTCGTATGAGTATAAAGTTTACGAGTCGTTTCCTCGGGTACTACGATTATAAATGTGGTCATAGCCCTCAGGCCACGTCTCAGAATTAAAAATAATGCATGATATACGAGTATATACTCCAAATGCTTATTAAATGCCAACGTTATGAAATATAACTCGTCAATGTGATGTGGTTTCAATTTCTGCTATAAAATTATGAAAAATCTTGTCATCACCGGTTATGATTCGAGAAAATATGGGTAGATATTTTTAAAGAAATAATTGATCACGTGAAGTAAGAAATTATTAGTAACCATTATTAATTGTTAGTAATTTTATAAAGTAAAAATAAAATTGAATTACATTATACCAAATGTAAAATAAAACCTGCATTATAACTCGCTGAACAAATATAAAATATAATCTATGGGTCAAAAATTATTTTAAATAACACAAAAATAAAGAAATATTTACTGTAACAAATGTAAATATAAATATAAAATAAATAATTTGATAGATTAATCTATGGTTATAGTTATAGTTGCTAAAAACTATTTTGCTTTATAGTATTATTTATAATCGATTAATTTTTATTTTGTATTTATTTATCGGAATCTTTTACTAGAAATGTAACTATTGCGTTTATGGAAATTTGCGAAATGCTTTAATTTCAACTAAATATCACTATTGAGTGTATAACGTTATTCATTTATCATTAAGCGTTAAAATAATAAAAATATTTTTGTGACACATAATAAATTCGCGATCAAGCGTATACGGTTAAAATACATACAGTAAACGGGTTATTCGAGAACGAAAGAAAAAAATTAAATCCTTAATGATTATGGTAAATGTAACAAAATTAGAATTGCGTATTGCAGGCACGTGCACGAAATCGAGTTCAGTCAGAATATGTAAATCAAAACGATCGTATTATCGAATCTAGTCGAAAAACTCGTTGAAACAATAACAAACGATGGCGATAAAAATAATAACCTAAGTGCAATTGTTGCGGTACAAGAAAATAAATCAAAAGCGTGAACCAGTTGGGAATCGGAATCGGCCGAGTCGCAGATTAGGCGGCGGTCCGATACGATTTGCATATTGTTGTACGCGAACGTTGTCATCAAACCGGTTGGCGAACCAAAGATGGTAACGGATTCCGCAACACTGTCGTTGTTATTATTATAATTACTGTTATACTCACGGTAAACGCCATGTTTTCCGGTGCTACGTAGTACGTCTGTTTTCACGTGATCGGACCAGTTGACGGCGCTCGGTCGGATGGGACAGTAGTATCGCCTGGATCACGCGGATTTCGGTTTATATACGTTTATAAAAGTCGGGGACCGCGTTCCACCGCAGGCGGGGGCGCGGCGTGGGGGTACGCGAGACCGGTACCTACCACTGCGGTCGCGGTGACGGCGCGCGCTGCCTTCGCCTTCGCCGCCGCGCAAACCGAAGCCCTCACGGGGGTCCCCTCTGATCGGGCCCGTGGGGACGCGCCGGAGGGAAAAGAACCGATTCGGATACGGACGGCAGACATCGTAATACGTATCTCAATAACGGTAACAACCGCGATGGTAACCGGTGCAACGAACTCCCGGGTCCATAACGTAACGATACATTTATTTATATTTTTATTTCCCATCCCCCGGATACGATTCAATACGAAACGACAACGAGCACTCCGATCGACGGGCCGGACGGACTGTTCTACGGTTACGAACCTCGGACAACCGTCGGATACACTGTTCGCTGTGGTGCACGTCAGTACAGATCTTCCGTGTTCATAGACGTTTTTTCATTTAAGATTAGAAAATATACGAAATAACATACCGTGATGATGCGATAACGTGAGACGATATGAACCAGCGGGTTACGATTGATTTGGTTTTTTTTTTTTTTTTTGAACTTGTGAAGCACCCGCAAATCGTGGGTATAAAAGTACCCACGATCCGTGAGTTACGACCGATAACCGTACAGTTCCGAGAGAACCGTACGCGGCAGGCAGACGCGGTATAATCGTTTTTCCCCGGTCAACGTACGAGGGGGGGGGGGGCTGTTCTTAAATTCAAAAATCCCGTGAACTCTCCGAACGAATGTACAGGTTAGGATCTGCAGGAGCACGGTAAACATCGGATTTGGATTATCTTTATTTTCCCTTCTCGGTCACGGCGGCGTTCTATGGGTTCTACAGTGTTTAGTTGTTGTGTAGCATTAGTGATTACGAATATTTCTGTTCGAGCTTATCTATTCGTTTACAGATGATTAAATATATTTCAGCTAATCAGTTAACGCTTATAACATAGCTCGTCGTCGCAATTCGAATCGGATTTTATTTGATTCGTGCGATGTTATCGCAATCGCATGGAACAAGTACTATATATATATCGAATTGGCTAAATGTCAAAGGCACGCAAAAAAAAAAAAAATAATAATGAAAATAATTGCCGTTAAAAAGAAGATAAAATATAAAGAAATTATCATGGCTTACATGTACGAGTAGATACCATAAGATGTTTTGGTATTTAAACATTTTGAAAAACGGTACAAAATATTCGCAAATGACGTCATGGGATATTATTATAGTCTTCGATTACTAATTTACCACCACTCGTATGTTAAACCTCAGGCTATACTGGTCACTTGCCCCGTTTTAATATTTCCGTTTTGGTTTTTTTTTTTTTTTTGCTTCACTCACTATAACATTTCATGAGAGGGAGCGGGTGATTGTCATTATATCTCAAATTAGACGGTACATATGTGACTCATGCTTGCGTACGTGTATTTGTAATTTTGTGGTTCGCATACTCGGCAAGAGCAGAAAAATGAAAATATAATCGTAATATTATTACTGTTCCGATTACTGTGGATCGTTTTAGAGAAAGAGAGAGAGAAAGAAAAAGAAAATGTCGACATGTTTTTGACGCGTTGTCACTTGTTAGACTTTCGTTCGTATTTAAAACTCCAAAATATTGTAATCGATTGTTCTTTAGTCAACATTCGGGTCAAGACCACCGTCGTGGCATGGTTAGACTAGGTTAGGTGGGTCACGGGGAAACGACTGTGAGCTTTGAGGCACCGTGCAACGGTCGCGACAAGCATGCATTTTTCATATTAACACGTGACAAACTGCCCCGGGTCTTAGTCGTTATTATATCATATACTATTTATACACAAACCAGCCGTCGGCCCTTTTATTAATCAATCTGATAAATACGTCTTGCTCATATACGCACGTACGTACAGCTTAAGGTTGTACCACTTGTATCGAATACATTATCTAAGCGTTATCTGAGAATTTATTCCTTCCACACAGAAAGTGAATATTGAGAAGAACAAAAACGTAAAAATGACATTATTGGCGAGACGTCTATATTTTAAATTAGCTACTTAAACGAGAACTACGCAACAGATGAAAATATGATACAGTTGTTGGCTTAGAAAAAGTATGTTTTTCCCTTACGTTTCTGATAACTTTATCACTATTGAACGGATAAAACATATACAAAGAGAAAACGTATATATTTATTAAAAGAAGTTTTTCGGAGTTTTGGAAGGAAATCATCATAATATACTAAAGTATTAGTGATTTGCTAATTAATCTATTTGTATTTTAATTAATAGTTTAAACGCATTCAATAATTAATGAATCTCAAGTGATCTATTCATTTAATAATATTTTATTGTATATTTCATTCATTCTATTTATGTTTTATTGTAATTGATACACGATTTTCATCTTTAAAAATACAGTTAAAAATGATTGGAAATTTAGTAAAAGTTATGGTAAATTTACTACAGTGCAAACAAAAGCTGGATACTATGAAAAACGAATACTTAGCGAATTATTGAGCTGTATAAAATGATAAAACGTAGATAAACATACTTACATATATGTAGTTGTCTGGGTTTGCTCAGTGTTGAAGAACTATTGAATTATTGATTAATTTTAAATAAGTATATTATCGTATTTCGTAAATCATTCTGTGTGGGATTAGTGTCTCTTCATGGTTATTCCGGTTATGTAAGAACAAAACTGTTTGCTTTCATTTCTCAGTAATTAGCTACAGTTGCTATTTGTCATATAATAACTATAAAATTGTAATAAAATAAAGTTCTTTTTTTTTATACATATATATTTATTAAAAATCGTGCGATTTTTCACCTTATATAAAAATTATTTGCTAAAAATATAATATAACTAATGACTAAAATTTGCAAACCAAGAAACTCTTATTCGAGAAAGAAAATTTTTTTTTTTTGTTTTTGTGAATAATTTATTTAAGTATTTATGTTTGATTTTAAAGATATCATCAATGAAACTAATTTGTCGGTTTATGGTTTTTTATAGCTTCATCCATTTTATGATGGAAAAATTTCTTATTTACATAATATACTCATAAAAATAATGAAACTTAATTTAAATAATTTCTCATTATTTTTTAAAAGAGCTGAAAACAATCTCTTAAAAAACAATTATATTTTCAGTAATTCACTGTTAAGCTCAAAAATGTATTTGTTATAGTTATTTTACTAACTATAATTATAAATGTAATTTATAACTTAAAATTATCCTATATCTATAACAATTTATTAAATAAATCTTATAACAATTTTAAAAATGCAATGTACGTTATTTAGGTACTTGCTGCAATATCCAACTAACGTCTATATATTCTTGAAAACTGAGATCTTATGCTTTAGCGCACTTGACATTTATTCAATTAAAAACCATATATAATAAAAAATCTTCTAAGTTATTTGTGAAATATTTTTATCTAAGAAATATACTTACTATCCAATAATATCCTATCTTGTTGTATAAAGGTGAATAAAATATAAAATAAAAAGTTCAAAGAACATTCGAGGTAGATATCTTAAGAATTTCAATCAAGTAAGATATGTCTAATTTATGTTATTTATTTAATGAAAGTAAAAATTTAAATAAAAATCAATCCGCCAACAAATTAACTCAAAATTCATATATGTATTACATTATGTAATATTTATAACAAACTTAGAAAAATAAGAAAAAAAGTATAAATTACTGATTCGACGAATTTTTGTATAGTACATAACTAAAGCTCGGATGTTAATGACCCAAATTGTATTAAAATATGCATTTATAAATTTCAAAATATGCAAATATATGCCTTCAAATATATCAAATATACCTATTTTTCAACAAAAATATGCAAAAAAATAAACACAAAAAAGGGGTTATTATTAATTCAAAATAAATTATAAAAAAAAAATGCATGATAGAAATAAATTACTATAAATATAAATATATATTCGGATTCGCTATCCACGCAGGTTTGCTGGAACGTAACCTTCGCGGATAACGAGGGATTACTGTACTGTTATACTTACCTATACCTATAATATTAATCTATTAACGATAGGCGATAAGATAATATTCGTCTACAGGCGATTCCGACATTCGTGAGTTTTTAACCGTATAAAGTGTTATGTTTATATTATATTTAAAATATTTTAAATATGCCATTAAGTCGATAAATTATCAATATATGCATTTATATGCTCAAAAATATCAAATATGCAAAAATATGCAAAAAAAGTTTGCATATTTGTATTATAGATTTCATGAATCAAATTACTATCTCACTCTGGTGTAATTCTGGTTGCTTGAAAAAAATAAGTTGAGTTATAAACATCCGAGCTATATACATAACATTTGTTTTGATAAATGTAATCCTAACATGCAATGAAATCATATAAGAAAAATAATTTCTATGGAATTGATTGAAAATATTATACCTTTTAAATTTGAAGCGCTATAAAGTGATCTTTAAAGTATAAATTTACTTTTTAAAAATGTATTAAAATAAACTTTTTTAATATAAAAATAGTCATTATATCATTGAAGTATCAAAGTTAATCATTCAAAATGATAAATTCAAATTTTTTGTTTGTTTATTCATTATTTTCCTGTGAAACTTTCTATGTATTTCTGAATTTTGTTATTCTCTCGATGAAATTTTCATTATTATTTTGATTTCTTAAAAACCTGAAAAAGTATGTATGAAAAATTATAAAAAAAAAAAAAAAAAAATGTATATTTAATTAACCTAACATTTGTAATGTGCGTTAATATTATTTCTTTGGTACCAAATTTACTTGTCTAGTATTATTTTTAGCGATATTCAAGCGATTCAAATATTCGATTTTTACTACTAAGACGATTTTAAAGAACAAAAAAAAAAAAAAAATCATAATTATATTAAAATAAAAAAAATACTTCATTAGACCAATTATATATAGATTCATATCATTCAATAAACAAAACTTCTCCCAGAGTTAAAAATATGTATAAAATAAATATTAAAAATTAATGAAGTCTTACGATTTGGATATAATAATATATGTTCATAATATTTCATAATAAAAATGAAGAGTTTTCTTTTTTTTTTTATGAATTAAGTACATTCATTCATATTAAATACATTCAAATATTTTATTAGTTTTATCAATATTTAGTGAGTTATCTCATGAACTACCTCTTTGTCATCACCTCTATTAATCTCTGTGACAATCATATTATTATTATCATACATACAATAGTATTCATAATTTTTTATTCAAAGTATAAAATGTATATAATTAAATAGATATTAAACAATTATAATATATAATATATATTTTGTTACATATTTTTAGTGTTCAGCTAATCTTTATATTTTTCATTAATATTGTAACTTAATAAAACTTTTTTTGAATTTTTTAAAACCCAACGAAGATATTTCGACTGACATTATTTTGTAAATCACATAAGTATTGTAGAAATTAAGTTAAAAGAAAAACAGTGGGGTGAAAATCGTATTATTTTACTGAAGAAATACAAATCCGAGTCCTCGCTTTTCATTTGAATAACAAAGCCACAGCTCAAGAGATTTGCGAGGGCGACCAGATGAGTAGTAAAAAATAAAAAAAATCCATTTACGTTCATTATTTCATTTTTTTTTCTTTTTGGTATCGGCACATACAACTGTCAGCAAATTTTCCTTTGTAGAAGCATCCGATAATATCTTATGTGGCATGTTCTGTTTTAATATGTCAAGAGCACACTGTAGTTTTTATTTTATTTTTGAACAAAAGGTTCAAATAACTAAATAATTTCCATGGATTAGTGAATAATTTTTTTTTTTTTTTTTTATATTTGTTCTTTTGATCAGTAGTTTTCATATGTAGAGTTATGCAATTTAAAAGCTAATAACAAAATCAATGTCATCTTAAAACTTCACCATAATAATGTTAAATAACATGTTGCATATCCATATAATTATAGATATTGTATCATTCAAAATATAATCCATTAATATTTTATTTTATTAAATCCATCGTAGGATTAATCTCAGAAAAGATATATTTTATCGAATTCTAAAAGTTATTAATTAAATGCATACAGATAAAAACAAATATGGTTATTTTTGTACTGTGGATTTAATATATTTTAATAACATGTAGTAATTAAGTTTTAATTTACACAACTTGATAATTTTTATTTAACATGCTAATGGTATTAACAAATAATGAACTAATATTAATATGATGGTGCTTCATACTGCTTATTGTTAGGTGCACCGTATGTTGATTCTTGTTTGTTGTATGCTGGTGCATTGTAAGCAGCCGGTGCGTTGTAAGCAGCTGGTGCGTTGTAAGCAGCTGGTGCGTTGTAAGCAGCTGGTGCGTTGTAAACAGCCGGTGCATTGTAAGCAGCCGGTGCGTTGTAAGCAGCCGGAGCATTGTAAGGAGCTGGAGTGTTGTAAGCAGCTGGCGTAGATTTATAGACTTGGTTGTCTTTGTTATAGGCTGGTGCAGCTTTGTTGTAACCACTACCTTCTTCTTTTTTCACATCGGCGTTGAAACCGTTTTCATCAGCTGTATACTCAACTGTCCTGCGGGAACCATCAGGCTCCAACAGCGTGTAGTATCCTTTTACGTGATAACCGTCACTTTCCTCCTTTTGGCTTTTGATGTCGTATGTCTTTTCATCGTTTACACTGTACTCAAAACTGTAGGGGGCTGGAGCATAAGACTCTTCAGTGTGAGCATTTTGGCTTGGGTAAGACGATTGACTTCCTGATTGGGATGGGTAAGCTGATGCAGATGATTGTTTGTTGTATGAAGCAGCAGGAGACGAATAATATTGCGGCTTAGCATCATACGCGGAAGCTGAATTTTGGGATGCTGGGTATTTGGGTTGTTCGTAAGAAGAAGCTGAGGCCGCCGAGTAAAATTGAGGTTTTCCATAAGCCGGAGCAGTGTAAGAAGGAGCTGAGTAAGATGAGGTAGGATAAGAAGGAGCAGAGTATGATTGTGATTTTCCATAAGCTGGGGTTGGTGCAGAGTATGAAAGAGAAGAGGATGATGGAGCAGAGTAAGATTGTGGTTTTTCATATGCTGATGATGGTGCAGAGTATGATGGTGCTGAATATGATGGTGCTAAATATGATGGTGCAGAGTATGATGGTGTAGAGTACGATTGTGGTTTACCATAAGCTGGAGCAGAGTATGATGAAGAAGAGTAAGATTGTGGTTTACCATAAGCTGGGGCAGAGTATGATGGAGAAGAGTAAGATTGTGGTTTACCATAAGCTGGGGTAGAGTATGATGGAGCAGAGTAAGATGGGGAAGAGTAAGATTGTGGTTTACCATAAGCCGGGGCAGAGTATGATTGAGGATTTCCAGCGTAAGAAGGAGCTGAGTATTGAGCTTCTGGGTATTTAGGTTGCTCGTATGATGATGACTGAGACGGGTATGCTGGTGAACTATATCCTTTCTGTTCATATCCCGACGCCTGTGGTGATGAACATTCTAACCCAGCAATGATGTTTGATTGAATGGCCAAAACAGCGATGATTAAGGCCTAAATAATTTGAAAAAAATTATTAACTTATTATTGTAATACATTATTTAAATCATACATAAGTTACAATACACACATGCGTATTATGTAAATATTCTAGGTATCAAGTGAAAATATATAACTAAATATGAATTTTTTTTTTTTTTTCAAATCAATGCTTCAAATCGTGATCTATAGTCACTATACTGATTTAACTATGGATAAATAAAAATATATTTAAGTATAATTATTAATTATTATTTTATTGATCAATATTAATTTTTAATTTATTAAAGACTTAGATTTACTAATATATTTAATCCTCCTTAATTCGTTTAGCTAACAGTGTTTAAATTTTATAAATTTAATAACAATTTAATCGCCAGGTAATATATTTAAATATATATATATATATATATATATATATATATATATATATATATATATGTATTTTCTGATATTTCTATAGAATACAAGATTATGTAATATTATAAATATTAAATAACATCGGTCCGGTGGTAATTTATCAATTACATATCTAGTAGAATTCCAAGAAAAAACAAAAACGTATCATTGATATAATTATTAAAAAACGATATAAAAAAAGTTTACAGTAGATACAAGAAAAACACATGGTTAGAAAAGCAATCATTTTGACTATGTTAAATATTATTACGTAACCAAAATATCCAAGAAATTCAGAAATTTAAATCTTATGAAACTTAATTACATATGTCAAATTATTTTGCTCGGTATGTAAGTTGTAAAACATAAACTGATTTCATTTATTTGTGAATCAAATCTTATTATTGAAAATATCATGAAATCCCCGAGTTATTATTATACATACAAATATACATAAATATTTCAGTATCAACGTGTATGAAAATTAATAATGAATGCCCAGTGGATCGTATTTTTTAATTGTACTATCTAAAAATCAAATTTAAAACATCAAAAGTTTATATTTTAATAAGCAAGATAACGAGTATCTACGTAAAATTGTGTGCCTTCGAGTTTTTAATTCAAAATTTTAAGTATATAAAAATAATATGTTCACGATTTTTTTGATTTTTAAGTGCAAACTTGATTGATTTAAATGCAACGCTGCAACATTAGACGACACCTCATTAAGAAAAAACGTGATGATGAAAACGAAAGCGAATAGTACTACACCGTCACACTTTGACAGATGTGTATCACTGGTACATATATAAACCGGTTTCATTTTCGACTTATACGTTCAGAATGAAGATAATAAAAAAAAGTTGACCACCAATGTGTAAGATGTAAGATGTCTACATATTTAGTCGATCGGCTACACTATTATTATACAACATTGAGAATTTACAAACATCAATGATAATTAAAAACGACCGTACGCGAGCGAACCATGTGTGTACGTGTTGTTTTTTATTTTTTAAATGCACTTTATATATACACGTCGACCCTTTTTAATCAATACGTTTCGTGCACGTCCGATCGATTATCATTTGCATTCAAATAAAATCCCACGAATTCGGTCATGTTCGCACAGCTGAGAACGCAAAAGTTTAGTTTTGGTTTCCTATCGCCGCGCGCTAAATTATTTCTTGTGTTTGAGAAAAAATTACTTAAGTCCAAACACGAACCGGTTTAATACCACACATTCTTAGTGGCCTGATGCAATATTTATGGATTATTATTTGAAACGTGAACTCAAACTAAAAAAAATTGCTTTTATTGGTGTTATCTGCGTATATGTACGTATAATGCATTTCAACAATGTATGAGTGTTTGGGAATACTTAAAAAATGTCTTTACGATTTTTCAGATAAAAATAACGCACTTTATAGACACGTGTTATCGTATTGTTATATGTATGCGTGGTATCAACGTTACAATCTGGTTTTTAAAAAATCACTGTTGCGAAGTAGTTTGATTTTGATTTTAAAATGTTATAAATCAAACGATAACACACATATGTGCTGCTACTGTGAAAGTAGAATTAAAACCTGAAATCGATAATAATTATCGTTTTGGCCTTGTTACAGATTATTTTGTTTGTGACAAATATTGTCCTCTAACTGAAGGGTTTATCGTTCGGTCACGTATATTAAATGCACATAATATATTATGTGAATTTTAAATATTGCATTGTTAAAAAAAAAAATATATATATATATAGAGCGTGCCCTTAACATAATTATTTTAGCTTTTAAGAACAAATTATATATATTTATTATTTTTTTTAATGGAATTTGAAAAGAATTGCTGAATAAAACCACTGATCTTGGCACCGTTATTTTACCTACATTAGTATTCTATATTTTCATTGTACTTATATCATATAAGAATTATGATTTTAAGATTGTTGCTCAATTCTAATAAACGCAATAAAATTAAACGTTCATCTGATTATTATATGCAATATATTGCAATATATTGTTGTGTATATATATATTGAAGGTACAAATAGTTTGATTGTTAAATAATTTATATGCATGTAAAGAGAAACAAATAATTTTGGTAAATCTATACCAGAGTTCATCAATAGCAATGTGCTACAAAAAAAAAAAAAATATATATATATATATATATATAATTGGTATTATAATATATCCAACAAACATTAATATACAGTTTTTCGATCGCTAAATTTTATCAACATTTCAAGGAAGGTGAAAAATAATGGTCACTTAAAAAAAAATTAATTTCATTAAAAACTATTATTATTCGAATTCGGTATTATTTGTCATTGAGTTTCAAGTTAAATATAATAATAAAACGTAATCCTTTTCCGAGGTGACTGAAACAAGGCGAGTGCTCAACACACCATTATTATGGTTGATGTACTTTACTCGGAATCCTATTGTGATGTATGTTACGTTTATTGGTCCGTAAAGAAGCGGGCACGTCAACGAATATAATTTAAGTTGATATTACAATAATTATAAAATACAAATGATTTTCAGCCGAATAATATCTAAACATAAAAATATTATTGTGTGAGCATGGCTATAGGTGAACCTATTACATGGTCGGTGTTGAAAAATGAATTTTGCTATTGCTGTTACAGAAGAAAAGAAAAAACGAAAAAAAATTAAAATAGTGAAATTGAGACAAGTCACGATGCGCATTAATAACTATATGAACGTGCTCTGCAAATACGTTTGGTAAAATTAGAACTATTTGCTCGTTTGGTTACGATTTAAATTTCTACTGAATCTATGAACTCAAGACACGCTTACGATATGTATTAAGACCGTGCGTACACTAACATAATATATTATATTTGTTTCGAAAAGATCATTTTAGACGTTCCGTAAAGGATTTAAAATAATAACGAAAATAATCATAACCACTTACTTTGGTCGCCATCGTCTTAGTGTGCGGAGAGCAAGAATATGATTGGAATCGCAATAAATCGAAGTTTGATGATCACTGATCGAACTGATAGATTATAATAATTTTATTAACGATCGATCCGAAATTTATATACTAGAAAAAACACACTGGTCAGCCCTACTCAGAACACCCTTAGGATGGGCGCGTAATGTATAATTACGTTCGTGTGCGATCAACAACATCGTTTTCGAAGAATCGTATCAATCAAAGAGCGTTGTCGATACGCGTAACTGTCGCCGCGGGCCAGGAATTGGCCATACGATTCATCCCCGCGGGCGATAGAGCACAGTATAAAATCACAATAATAACAGTAATAAAAAAATAAAAAAAATTAGAGAATAATAATCAAAACAGAACCGCCAGTCAAATCCGCCATAAGAAATCGACGGGCAAGACCGCTTTCGCCCCGTTAAGGATACCGCTGCACCGGTTTGCTTAGGCGCCGGTTGATTAAAATGATATAACGCGTGTTCGCGGAAAAACGTGATGCCACCAATGTAATATATAACAAACGTTTCCGACAGGATGGACGTGGTTTTATCATAGTTATGAGCGCCTGTGACGAACGACGCGGTCGTTTGTGACCGGGTCGGAATTATTTTTCGTTCGTTTATCGGCGGACGCGCAGGACGTGTGCTGACGCGCCACCGTAACAGTGTGCAACGTCAGTATTTTTCTATTTTTCTCGTTCGATTTACCGTCCATTCGCGTGTACGGATAGACGATAATAAATCTGAAGACCCGGTCGAGATCTGCGACAATGTATTACCCACTCGTACGCGATATTTTATTGTATTGCGACCGGTTAGATTAGTGTTAGGTTAGGTGGACTGCGGGACGAATCGTCGCAGGTGTGCGGAACATTATGGTTATTATGGGTGCATGTAAACTTCGCCGCAAGTACCTTTTTTTACTGTAAATTCCGCCAGAAAAAAAAAACAGGTAAAATTTAGTTCATGTTAACTCCGCCAGTGAAGAAATCAAGTAGTAGTATAAAATTAATATGATATACCTCTTATTAAAAATAAAAAATATAATATAATATAATATCATATCGTTCACGTTAAATATTAAAATCATAGAAAAAAACATTATAATAAATAATCGTTAAACCTAATAATCCAAAAATATATAGTTATGTCAAGTATGTAAACTAAAATGATGTGATACAATTTGTAAATATTCTATGTCTTGTATTACTCCATTAGTGTAACAATTTATAGCATTCTGTAAAACTGAAATATTTTTTTTTTATTTCAAATTTTTTACCTTATTTACTTGAGATATGCTTTTAGTTTTATATGACTATGGATTAGAAATTCGGTAAAAACTTTACTAAAAATATGAACATTCGGTTGACTTTTATAAAATTAATTTCTTAAATGATTATGAAAGAATTCACAGGCAAAACACAAAAAAAACTGGTGGAGTTTACATTAGACCTTTTATTACTTTTTTATTTTAACCGATATTCTGGCTGAGTTTACAATCGCCCGGTTATTATAGTTTAAAACGCGCTCGAACACAAATCCGCGACGCACCGCTGGCGACCGAAGTTGACTCTCAGGAAAACAATAGTTGAAACGTTTTACACCTGTTCCTTGTACGGCGGGACATGTTTTCGGGAAAGCTCTGCCGATCACATCATACATAACCATTTAATATAGATTGACGTCGAAAAAAAGCCATGTTGTTATAGTGCGTACGGTTGCGAAACTCTGCGTCACTAGGGAATTATCAACGTTGCGTGTAGTGTTAATACGCAAAAAATTAATTATACACGTTTATCGATATAATTTCGTCGATGGATAAAAATAGGCGTTTTTCTTTATAATGGTCGTGTTTACACTCCGAGTGCTTTTAATACTTTCGACGATGTTATGCAACGCTACGCCGACACATGGTTAAATGTCGAAACTAATTTATCATAATAGATACCCAACTATACGCAGTGTTATATTTTTGATTTGAGAACAAACTCTCCGACAAAATCTAAATACCGTGACGGTAACGTATCAGTGTAATAAATATTTGTTTACAAGTAACGGATCTTTGAGCCTATTATTATATCAAATATTCAATTTAACGAAGAAACTATGATAATATCCGTACGAGTAACAGTATTTATTATTAAGAAAAAAAAAATGAACGATATTTTCATTGTTCTCATTCAATTATGATAATCGATAAACTGAATGAAATATTATATTAATAGTATGATTCGAGGAAACAATTAGAATTCATTGTTCCGATACCTCTTAAGTTGTGACTAATTCCTAATGGTAAAAAGTAAAACTCGATTTCAACTTGTATTTTAAAGTATCAATTTGTTGTAAAAATAATTATATGTTAATAAATTAATTAAATATAATAGATTATATGTTGTATTTATATTTGGAATAATATATAGTTAAATGGTGGTTCCCTGTTTATCAAGGAAAACGTGAATTCAGTAGGTGAATAAAAAATCTACATTTATAATTTATCCGTATAATTTTCCTTTAAGTACCTATATATTATTATTTTCGATCAAATTCTTGATGATCATACAATAACGTACTAATGGTCTACACTCCACGGTTACATATTCAAAATATTGTTATTATATTGCTTCTGATTAAAATATAGTATATTCATATTTCAAGGATTCAATTTTAAGACAATTGACAAGATTTGACCTTGCTCTATATTAGTACTTTTTTTTCAACACATAGTTGGTATATTCGATACCGGTTGTATTATAATTATTTCAAATTCCAGTTTAAGCGGAAAATTGTGGTCAGTCTTTAATAGGTACATGTTAGGATAAAATGCGATTTTTATTTAATTAAAACAGTTTGAAATGTTATACTTTCAAAACGGTCTGATACAGTTCTAACAGTTACTTCACATTACAGTCAGTCATGTTTTTTTTATCCATAGAATAATGATTTTTTTTATTCCTATCTATTACATTAAATCGTTTGCAAACAATTACATTTGCAGAAATTCTTCCACAATAAAGTATAAATAATAATACGTAAGTGTCATAATTCTTCACGCGTATACCGGTGCATGTTCAACTTTCCAACGTTCAAAACATCAGTTGCACTTAAACTCTAGCGTAGACGATCATAATAAGTGTAGTTTAAATTCAAGAAAATTTTCCGTTTTAACGACATAATAAAAAATAATCAGTATATATTATCAATAATTATTATAATTTTCGAACATAAATTATAATTATTATTATGAAAATACCTACATCATAAAGTTATAAACCTACACCTACATGCTGTTTACAAGACGCTTTACGGATAAAAGACTTTGAATGGAAAATTTATGAACTGAGAGAAAGAATAATAAGTAGAATATATGATGTATGTAAATAACAGGTATAATATAATATTTACGATAGTAATATTATAATTTATGAGCGGGTAAAAGTATAATAATTAGAGAGAATTGAATCTTTATTAACACGCCGTGGGGTATTAAGCCGTTTTTACTCAAATCATAACAAATATCTTCCTATCCAACTGGATATTATACGGGTACTTTCCAAGTTTAGTTGTTTCGAAATAAATTTGGACGACAAGTATGGTTGAAAAAATAATTGAACATAATTGTCCTGTACATACATACACGCACACACACACACACACACACACACACACACACACACACACACACACATACACACGTCCTTCGTATTAATACGAATATAAATATTTATGTTTTACACGGTTATACATTTGATTTGATAGTATTAGAAGTAGGTCGTGCTTATAATTTCAATAAACGTACATAGTAAATTAGTCCAAATCATACACATTTACCGTGAGGTCGATAAACCAACGATTATGTGTTATCGAAATAAATAATAACGGTTTTTCAAGTGCCATTAATATTACATTTAGTTTTGCGTAATTATTGTAAACACACGTGTATATTATGCTCTCGTTGCGCGAGCCACGATGCCGATTAACGTGGACTGAATAAATTAAAATGCGATTCCGTATGCGCTGTAACGCGTCGTGGGGGCATTTGCTACCTGTATTCCTATCGTACGATTTCATAAACACGATGCATAATCGGCAGTGCACAATTTTATTTTTCAACACCTTCCTTTAAACGTTATGAAACGGCGTCATTGCGGCCAACGCTATATGCTATTATTGTTACCGTTATTATTATAAATAATGATTGGACGCCTTACGGATTTGGATGAATTTACGCTGTATGCTACGCCTCTACGATCATATTATACGCTGTTTTTGACGGTACATTATAATATCATTACTATCATTATTAATATCCGACCATGACCTTGCCGTCTAAATAGACCCGTAATAATGGTACATTTTTGCACGTAAAGCGAAAACAATAATAATATGTGACCCGTAGCCGTAGCCTACGTGTATGACATGTAATGGAGGATAGGAGTGGATAATACAAGTACACTCGATCCCTGTTGATTGACTGTTTGATTTTATTTCGTGCAGATACCCGTAAATATTAAAATATACGAGACGTAGTAAGAAACACGGCTTGACATTTTTCCGTCACGCGAAAGAACGTTGAATCAAATGATTCAAACGGTATTAAATATAGTTGTTTTTGTGGGTTATTGTTAGTTATGGTCCATTTTTACCGTTATATGTAAAGTCGGTCGGAAAAAAAACTTTAAAGAAACACGAACTTAATCGCCATCATCGCCTAACGTGAGATTGACGACGGAAAATCGATCGAAACAAAAATATATCAAGCCTGAAAAAATGTATGGATACAAGTTCAAAAAAAAAAAAAAAAAGAGCAAGATAAAATAAATAATCAAAATTAATTAAAAAGTATCAAAATTAAAATATTATCAGCATGGCCAATAAAATTGAATTTATTTGAAATCGTATTGGCTTATCCTTTGCATTATAATTCAGTCGGTCGTTTATTTTGTTGATTTTTTCCGTGTCCCTTATAACCTTATGACATAGGTTCCCAAAGTGTGCGCCTCGATGTATGTATAAGGGTGCCGCGCCGTCATGAAATACTATTGAGTCTAACATTTTTCTTATGATTAGTCATGCTATGAC